TAACGGACTTAAGTTGGAGAACTGATTAGAAGTTACATGGCTCAACTCCTAACTAAACAATTGTTTCAGCTGTGGATGCTCTTCGGCAGTATCTCTGAGTACAAAGCAGAAGAGCACAGTTAGAAAGCCCCAGAGTGCATGTCAGGTTAACACCAACAACTGCTGTCTGCAATGGTTTAATTCTGCATAAACTTCAAACCAAGAAAGCCATGGTGAAACCTTTTTTTTCTTTTGCGTTTTATAGAAACCTGCCTCTACTTTTGCCTGCTTGTAGACATAGCTATTGCAAATCTTAATATTCTTGAGCTTCTGAGGATGTAGATATTTATATATAAAACATATAGCTGCTGAAAAATGCCAGACAAAATCAGGTGTGTACATCACTGGAAGGCCACATTTGCTTTAACTTGTTCTGGAATCGGGCATAAGTAAACGCATAGTGTTTTTAGGACACGTTTTAAACAGGTCGTTCTTTTGTGAGCATTTCGTCCCTCTACAGGAGTTGATAGTAAATGTTTACCAATTAATTTCCCATCTTGAGAACCATATCATATTTTACCATAAGTTTGCTTTGTAAAGTGCACCTCTGATTTCAGTAAACCCTTTGCACTGGTACTGAATCACACACTTTAGGAACACGCTTCCTAGAGGGTACAGCTCTGTACAGTATTTGTAGGACCCCTGTATTCTACCCCCAACCTTCAGGATCTCTGCTGCGTGTGCGCAGTGCTCACGTGAACAGATGGGAATACTTGATTTGTTTCCTCCTGTATTTATTCTAACAAGCTATGGTCTATGTAAATGAACTTAGCTGCTGTATAGCAAGAAATGCAATTTGACTTTGACTTCTGCTTGGACAAAATAAAAGCATTCTGTGCAACTGATTTTATACTTAGAGACCCTTTACTGGCAGTGACAGTGACTGTGGTGAAGCACAGACATGGAGCACGGTGTGGGGAAGTGCTGCCCTGTAGCTTTACCCCTGCAGGGTCCAGCTCTGGGCTAACCTGCAGCATCACAATTCAGCAGCAGTGTGCAGCTCGTACTGGACATTAAAGAAAACAAAGCTATCCTGACCCTAAAACAAGAAATCCCAATGCTTTTCTGTGAAGAAGTCCAGAAAAAGAACTGAAGGAAAAATGCAAAACCAACATATGAGAACGCCCATGAAAAACACTTGTTTCAGGCTGTCAGCACTGCAGCATTCGCTCTTCAGAAAAGCTGACACACACTGTGCTCCAGGCCTCGGGAAGTGGCAATGGCAAAAAACAAGGTGAGACGCAAAGCTGCTGATAAAAGACTCAGCAGGCCGACAGTAATAGCAGAAGAAAGGGCTGCTTCAAATCACTGTTCTTTAGATGGCAGATTTCATGAAAAATACACCTGCAAAGTTTCTGATAGGGCAGCCTTCATCCCTGCAAACACTGACAGCTAACTCGAGAACTGGCACTGCCTGTCTGTGGCACTGAATCCAAATGCCATGTGCTGCCAGCAGGAGCCAGCTGCAGAGCAGTGAAACAGAACAGGCCTTACATCGTGTAATGACTGCGTCAGATGCTGTTTCACATGTGCTAAAGACTTAGTAGTAATAAGGCTGATACTGCTTCATATTTGTACTGGCACTGAACACATTCAAACCAGTATTAGAAATACGCCTTCTTGCTGTGGTCACAATATTGTTTTAATCCAGCTCTCAGCTCTGCTCCTCCATCACTAGCCCTTGCACCAGAGCTGCAAGGCAGGCCAGAAAACTACAGAAGCTAAAAATCTGATAACTTAGCGTAGAAAAACCTGTTTCAAATTCCTACAGAGGACTCACACTGAGCAAATGCTACCTGGGTTGCCTTGGAGTATCTCCTGAAGTTTCAAACCTCTGTTTTACCGAACTATACATAAATACGAATCTCATAGAAGCACAAAGATTAGCAAAGTCATTTTTACATTAAATCTGATTATAAGATTTCTCTTCCTTGTTTGGGATTGCTATGTAACAGCAGTATCCATGACTTCCAAGTATAACTCCATTAATAGCAGTAGAGTTAAGCATTTCACACAACAGCTGCCTCACTGATAGCCAGAAAGAAAGCAAAAGGATTGCCTGATAAAGTCATTACAGCAAGCCAGCCAGGGCCTTTTAGTTCAATTGTGCCAGATAAACTGAAAACCAGTTAAAGAACATTTTCCTAGGAAAATTTCACTGTTTAGGCTTTTATCTCAAAGTTATTTGAAAATGAAAAGTATTTCCAATGAAAGCAATCCCACACTGACTTGCAGGAGACTCCTCTTATGGTAGAGGAGAGAGTTGACAAACCTACACACATTGCTCACCCAGAGAGATACCCACTTTCAGGAACTGAGAAAGGAAATACAAGGTGTTTAATGACAGAAAGTCTCCTTTTTATTAAAACTTTGCATGTTACAATGAAAAGGGGTAGATTGTCAATTTTTATGATTACAGACTGTAGCTCTCCTAATAGTTTACAGGGGAATTCCACTCTGGGGTTTGACTATGGCTGTTCTGTGCTGCTGTGCAGCAGTCCCTTGTGGTTGACTCATACTGTCTAATGGTCTGCAGTAACATCACATCTATGAAATGCTTCAGGAAAGTTGTTTGATAACAACTCACATGCCATTTACTTTCAATACCAGTAAATATTAGATTCAGTTATTGAGTAATACCATATAAAGATACCAAAGGTAAATGAACTTTCAATTGAAAACCTCCCCCCAAACCCTCAGGCAGTCCCATTATAAAAAAAATACTATTTTTATTCCACCCTCAAGCAGAAGTTGAACCTTCCCACAAAAACAAATTGCTTTTTCTTTGGTCTACTTGGATCCTGTAGACAGCAGGGCAATCAGTCCAGACGAAGCACTTATGGAAAGGATATAGTTTCTGTAAGAAGAAAGTTAAGGAAGCATACATGGGTAGGTACCACTTCTGCTTTTACAGAACTTGGTAAAAGTTTTGCCAAAAACAATGAATCAAAAAGGTTTTCCTCTGTAAAGCTTTAATTTAGGCACTGCAGCAGTGCAGCAGAAACACTAAGCCAGGGCTTGAAACCATGACTGACAACTTGGTGGGAAGGCAGGGCCAACCCAGGGGAGCTCAGGTGCAGGCAATGTACCTCAACGATGGAAGGAGTGGAGCCAGGCTGCACGCCTCCCCAGACTTCATTTAAGGGTTGGCAGTGGAGGCGAGGGTATCTTGTTGGAGATTCCTGTGTACCTGAGGCCTTCTGAAGGCAGGTAGTTTCTTTCCTTTATTTCTGTGCCCACAGCTGTTGTGTGTGAGCAAATCCTTACTGGCTGCAGCCTGGGACCTTGGTATTCTACTATCACTGCTGTGTTTTCCATCACATTACAAACGCTAACTTGAAACATAGCTTTCAACCAAGGTTATGAACCAGTTGTTCTGTTTATGATGTATTTAACCTTAAAATAAAGATGCCTCTAAAGGTTGGCCTGTTTTTGTCAAAGTGCTTATAAATAAGGCAGGTCTCTTATGTATACAGTACTCATCAGCAGCATTTAAGTAACGAAAATATTTATATGTGAAGTTACCCAAACCAAACAATCCTACAATTTTACAGTACTTGACAACACCTCTGTAGTTTTTCTGTAAACACAAGCCGCCTCCTGACTGCAGAATTACAAATGAAATGGGGAAAGTCAGAAGATTTCTGTGAGAGCCAACAGCAGATGATCAACATTTATATGGTTTGGAAGTGTTGGGTTTGGTTGGTTTTGGTTTTTATGGGGGTTTGCTTTTTTTTTTTTTTTTTTTTTTTTTTTGTATTGTCTGTTTCTACATTCAGGTGTTTCTGAGTTGAAAAACCACAACAAATTGCACACCTCAGCAGGGTGAAGGTGCCACACAGATAACACATGTATCTATGAATGGCAACCTATGGGAGTAGGACTTCAGTTGTTTTAGGTGTGGTAATAAAGGATACACAGTGGGGTTGAAATTCTTCAGCACAAAAAATGAAGCAATGATGACCAGGACCAGAAAGAGAGTATTGTTGTAGAAGATGGAAAAGGTTGTTGCTTCATAATCTGCAACTTCATTTTTCTTCCACAGAATCCTAGGAACAAGTAAAAACATTTCAAAATGTACTTAAGTCAATGCACGTCCTGACACATTCACAGTTAAGAAGAGACTTCCATCCAGTGGGGAAGCAAACCACAGCCCTGTCACAGCCAGCTTCTAAAAGACAGAGCACTGCAAAAACTGCCAGCCAACTCAGCAGCCAAAGGAAAGCCTGTATCTACTCTGCACTTGTGTATCTAAGTGACTTACAATTGTTTTCCCACCCTGCAGGTCAAACCTAGTGCTACGTAAACAGCAGTCTGTGCAAGTTTGTATCTGCTACATGCCAACAGCGTGCCTGGCAGTTAGAAAAAAAGATGTGGTTCTTCTGCTCCAAAGAGAAGACAATTCACCTTGTATGGTCTTAACAGACACCTAACAAGGAGCAATATTTATCCAGGCATATCCTGGATATCAGTAAGTTATTGAATTGGAAATCTGCATACTTGCTTTGACAGTTATAACCACTGGGTAAAAAGTGCAACTACTCACGAGCAGCACAGTAGAGCAATAGGAGGGAATGCTATACAGAAGGAGCTTGCATTCCACTAAGCAAAGTACATTACATGAGTCTGTTCTTAAAGAAATGAATTTATCTTAACTCTAGAGGTAGCTATGATTGTTACTCATCAGCTATTAGCAGCCCTCTACACAAAGTTGTCTTCCTTTACACATCAAGAATGGAGAGGCTGCCTTTATAGATAAAGGTTTCAACATTTGAGACCATTCACCGATAACTAAAAAGAGGATTTACAGATGGACAAAAGGCTGATAGTATAACTAGTATTAAAACAAGGGAAAAACAAAAGAGCACAAGGAGGATTACCTTTCATCCTTCTCCTTCCGAGACATCTTCCTGTTGTCTGCCTCAGAAAGCTTGCGAGTAACTTCTTTGGAAACAGCATCTTCTCTCTTCTGTGCAACCCTATAAGAAACACCATTCAAGGTAAAGGTGAAAAATGGGGGGGGAGGGGGGAAGGACTATAGGAAGATGTATTACACAGGGAAAAACAAAAGTTAGCCAGATACCAAACAGTTTTGCCAAGCTGAAGGGATGATTAGCAGTAATCAAATTATGAGAAGTACTTGTCAAATGCAGTTTATGGCAATACTTTCTGAGAACAAGGGTTGCTTTGCTGTTTCATCACTCCCCCAGCAGACAAGGCAAGTCCTACAGGAGATGTGACAGATGCAATCAGAAGTTACTGACACCAAAGAAACCTATGAAATACACGCTCAGTCCAAACACCTTTTTACCCCATACTGAAGATAATGATCCCAAGGTATCATTGGGGTTGGACTCGATGATCTCTGGAGGTCCCCCCCTACAATTCTGTATTTCTGTGATCAGGTAACAGCAATAAGAAAAGCATGCAGTGGATGCTTTTGTGTCACATCTTGCATTGTGGTCAAGGACTTTCAATGGAAGAGCAGTCAAGAAGCAAAGCTGATCACTTAACATTTGAGTTGTGAAATTTCACACTCTCAAAGCTCACAACTCAGCATGTATACTGTCCTCACAACCTAATGCAATTCATCAACTGATACAGTGGGACTCAATGACAGTAAACACTGAGGCAGCCTGGCTTACATCTGTTGATTCAAGCACAAGGGTTCTACAGTGTAACATTCCACATCTTCGTAAAAATGTTGACTACACTTTTGCTGAATTATTACAAACTAAGGCGTACACCAGTCACCAAACTCACTTGTGCTTGAGGACGAACTTGACGTTCTTATACGCAAACGCCACGAGGTAGGTACTGATGAGAGTCATCACGCTGTACAGCACGGCGGACTGAACCAGATCCATGTGCCATATCCTCCAGTAGAGCCCTTAAGGGTAGAACCGCAACGCGCTGTGAGCGCTGAGTGCTGCCACGCAGCAGCGCGCCGCCAGACCGCTCCAACCCCACCAAGGGTCGGGGCTGCCACGTCGCCAGCGGGGCCCGGACCCGCGGCTGCACGGAAGGGGCCCGAGCCGCGGGAGGGCTCCGCTCGGTGCTCCCTCTCCCATCAGGAAAGCCCGATCCCCTCAGCGCTGCCCACCCACCCCCCGAGGGAGGCCCCGATCCCCGCCGACCCCCGGCTGGCTCCCGCCGCTTACAGATGGGGATAGCAGAGACGATGAAGGCGTTGCCGAAGAAGAGAGCGGAGGACTTGGCCGAGAGGTTGCGGCTGAAATCCTGCAGCAGCAGATCCTCCTCCGACTGCTGCCGCCCGCCGGGACCGCCTTTGGGCGCCATGCCTGGGTACAGTCAGCACTGCTGAAGACGGGGCACCGCTTCCGGTGCGTTGGGTGCTACTTCCGGTGTGTTGGGTGCTACTTCCGGCGCGCGAGGCGCCACTTCCGGTGGTGGGGGGTGGTGGCTGTTCCCGCCGTTCTCGCTGAGGCGATGTTGTCTGCTCGTCTCTCAGCCGACGCCGGGAGCTGCCGCGCGGCCCGCAGCCGGGCCTGGAGCCGCCTCCGCGGGACGCGGCGGAAGCCGGCGCTGCTCAGGGTCCTTGGCCCGGTTGCAAGTGAGTACGGAAGCCGCGTGTGGGGCCGGTCAGCTCCGGCGGAGCGGTGCAGTGCTGGCGTACGGTGACGTTGCTTTATAAAAAACAAGCAACGGCAAAAAAATAGAAAAAAACCAAGCAAACAACCCCCCCCCCAAAAAAAAAAACCAAAAAAAAACCCAAAACCCAAGTTATTTCATATCTAGTTTGTTCAAAGCCTTTGTTTTCAATTTTTCTGGAAATATCCGGCCGTTTCTCCCCTCACACGCACCGGCTTTGCAGGCGGAGTGCCCTGCAGACCCCCGCGCCTTAACCCAGCCCTGGGCACTGCCGCGCTCTGCCTCCCCGGGTTTGTATTTCGCACATGAAAATGACGAGGCGTTATTGAAGAGTCCATCTTTGTAAAGTTTAACTAAGCCACTTCTTCCAGTTTTGCACTCCCATCAGTATGCTTTGCTAGCAAGAAAGAATAGGAGATGCAGCACGTGCTGAGGGAGTGCTAGGTGGACGTGGAGGCAATTTTATATTGTCAAAAAGTCATTGTATGTTATGACTGAAAAGAGGTTGATAAAATACGTAAGAGTAGTAGGGCTCTGCTATTTGATCTTGTGTTAAATGTCTGAGACCAAACCTGGGTTTCATAATGCATGCAGCATATTGAACATAGTGCTGATAGAATGGTGTCGCTGATTTTGTGTTGCCTACAGGCAGTGCTGGGAGCGATTCTGCTGATGGTGAGGCCGTCCTGTGTGGCATGGAAATGCATCTGCAGCAGAGATCTCCAGGCTGACAGCATAGCAGGCTGCATGGGGCTCTGAGTGCCAGCAGAAACTCCGGGTGAGTGCTGTGTGAGTGCAGCAGTGCTGGGCCTGACCCCCTTGCTCTGTGTGTGGGCCAGTCTTGCCTTTTCATTTATCCCCTTGCTGTCATAGAGTCATTTGAGTTGGAGCCCCTTTAAAGCTGTCAGTCCAACTTCCCCTGCAAGGAATGGGGGTATCTCCAGGCTCTTTCTTACAGCCCCTTTAGGTACTCTCAGTCCTCCTGGAGCCTTCTCCTCTCCAGCCTGCACAGCCTCAGCTCTCAGCCTGTCCTCATAGCAGAGGTGTTCCATGCCTGGGATCATTTCTGTGGCCCTCCTCAGGACACACTCTAACAGGTCAACCTCTCCTGTGCTGAGGACTCCATGTCTGGACTCAGTAATCCAGGTGAGGTCTCAGCACAGAGCAGAGTGGCAGGATCACCTTCCTGACCTGTTGGCTGTGTTTCCTGCCATGGAGTCCAGGGTACAGTTGGCTTTCTGGCCTGTGAAGGGACACTGCCGGCTCATTGCCAGCTTGCCAAGTACCCCCAGGTCCTTTTTGGCAGGGCTGCGCTCTATCCTTTTTTCTCCCGGCTTGTATGTGTAATGGGAGTTGCCATGATTCAGGTGTGAGACCTTGCACTTGGCTTTGTCAAGCTCCATGAGGTTCCCCTGAGCCTATTGCTCATCCTATTTAGGTTTCTCCAGATGGCTTTCCATCGCCTGAGGAGGAGGAACTGCCCACGACCAGTTTTTTACCTGCTAGCTTTGCCAGAGGAGGAACTCGCAGACAGCCCTGTGTCTCGGGTCACGTAACAGCTATGTGTATTCTGTTTCCTGGAGCTGTGGCCTGTAGGACTCATGAGTGGGGCATCTCTCTGTAGCTGCATGTGGCCACCATGTAGAGCACTGTGTGGGTACTGTCTTTAGGCACTGTTCTTCTTAGGTGCTTTGCATGCTGTTGAACAATTGGTGATTGCTCTTACACCTGATCAGATTATAATACTATTTCAGCTGTATCTCTTTAATTTATAAGTATTTCTGTGGCTATCTAAGAATGGAAAAAATATGAAATGCATTTAAAAATAATGAAGGGGAATTCAGACTTCTAATGAAATAATTGTCTCTGTGGAATTTATATGGGTCGAGATATTTTAGTGGATTGTTGCTTCAAGGTCTTTAAGCGTTTAAATCTGCATGTATGTATTTAATTGGACTTGCAAATGTACCTGACTTTCATGGATTTCTTTATTTTGGATGTGTGTTGTGTGGTAACTGTTGAGTCACAGCCTGAACCACTGATAGAGCACCTGGGGAAAGGATCCGGTGAGCCCTGGGAGCATAGGTGAAGGCAGTTCAGTGGTGTGACCAGGAGGGGTGGAGCCTGCCTGCACCACTCTTAGATCCTATTTAAGGGCTGACTGCCACTGGGGAAGGAGCTCTTTCTGGAGATCCCTCCTTGGTGAGACTTTCCCTTGTAACCCTAGAATGTTCTGATACGGGTGAGCAATCTTCTTCCCTTTCTTTGTAGCACCTTTCTATCATGCTGGTCCTTCTGTTCTCTCACCTTTGTTGTGACGCCTTTCCCATGGCATTGATCTGTCGATTGCTACAAGAATCTGCTACATGAAATAAGTGGCTACCTTATTTTTTGGTAACCCTTTTATGTCTATGTTTGGAATGCCGTGGGTCTTTGGGAGTGGAGTTCAATCTTGTTTACATTGTAGAAAGGCTGGAAGCTAAATGCATACTAGGTAGCACCACTATTTGATAGTGTTACAAGTCATAAGAATTTCCTTATTGAAGTACCTTTGTTAGGATTGCTTAAAGTGGTTGGAAACCATAGGAAAGACGAAGTGTGAGATTGTTTTAAGGCTTCAGTTTGTTGCCTATGTTCTTGCACAGTTTTCTCTTTCACTCTTCTGCGTAAATTTGTGTTGTGGTGGAATGTAATTAAGTCTTTTTGTTCCAAGGTTGAGTTTACGTGGGAAGTATGCAATATTTTAGAACAAAGTCTGCCAGATGATCATCTGTCTCTCCGTTAAGATGAAGTATGACATTGTTTTGAGCAGTAGAATGCTGAAAGGTTTTCTTGAAGAAGTTTTTTTGTTTTAAAGCCTTGGCACTGGCAGGCTGTAGCTTTGGGCAGAACGCTGCGTCCCATGAAGCTGTCACTGAAGCTTCTTATTCAGCCTGAGTACATTGTACTTGCCTCCCCAGAAATAAATTGGTATGAAGACTTCTGTCAAAACAACTCGGTTTTTAAGTGCCTGAATCTGTGTTGTGCTTACTGTGTTCTGTCTGAGCCCTCATTCAGCGGCCATTGGGCTCATAAGGCTTCACACCAGAGGAAAAATGGCTTCTTCACCCAGGAGCAAAACCTCTTCTTATATTAATTCTGTGAACTCTTTAACTTACGTTTCTTACCAAATTTCATAATGAAACAGAAATAGTGATAAGTATTGTGGAAATACAAGATCTATCTTTGCTTTTCTCATGGTTTCTCTTAAACTCTGAGCTGGACCAAGCTGACAGCTTGAAATGAGTGCAGTGGCATTTCCCAGCAGGATTTGTTCTGCCTGTTTTGCCTCTACTGATCTGTGCAAAGTATAAACTCAAAAACATGTTTGTGTCAGATCGGAAAGCAGACTCCTCAAGGCAGGTGATAAATAGTAAATAAGCCTGCTCTTAGCAAGGCTCTGTTGGTCATTGTACATTTAAAAAAGCATGTATTTATTAGGTTCTGATAGTGTGCTTGCTTAGGTAGCATGAGGAGAAAAGCATGAGACAGCAGCGCTAATGAATCCATGATGTATTTTTAGGCTTTTTCTCTATTGATAAATTTGTCATCTCTTCCTTTAGGTGCCAGAATCCTAAGAAAATCCTGAAGGTGCAGAAGGGGAAATTCCTGTGAGGCAGCACAGAACAACCTGAGGTGGGTAAAGAGCAGAGCCAGAAAGCTTTTGCTGGGGCCCTTTCCGTCACTACAGCGGTGCTAGAAATAGATGCCCTAGGGCTGAAGGGCTGTAAGGTCCTTGCAGAAGTCTTTCTAGTCGGTAGGGGTTCAGCTACAGTGAATGGTGGTGTTCTGGCCAGAGCTCAGTGCCTGAATACCTAGGGTGTCATCGTTGTGTGGGCTGATAGCAGAAGTCCTTTAGCTGTACTTCCATATCCAACGCCCTCTGTCTGAGGGCATATCTGTATTAAGGGAAATTAAAGCAGTGTTCTCAGTGTGTTACTTGAATTGTTGTTGTTAAATGGTTTTACAAGGGAGAACAATTCTGCATTCCGTCAGATTCGCTTGTTACAGAATCTTGTGTCAGAGTTCTTTTGAACTGTGCGTGCTGTGTTCTTCATGTGGTGTGAAGTGACCTTTCTGTCAAATTCTGGTCGTGGTTTTCCAGCTCTGCCTACCTAAACCTTTGGGAACATAGGGAAGTTGTTTCTGCAAGTAACAGGTTATTGTAAATAAGAGTTCTCAAGCTTATGGAAAATTCTGTATTGCTTTGAGTGATGGTTCTTTTTGGCATAGCTCTGCTGAAAAGATTACAGGCTTTTACAGCTTGATGCATTATGCAGTCCTTCTAATCTAATTTAAAGGCTCTCAGTAACAGTGTTTTTTAGGTAACAAAACCTGTGGAAAAACTCCCTTGAGATTAATACATAATGTATGAACAGACCAAATAGGACCAGTTTTGCTGTCTTCCAGTGTTACTACTAGGACATTCCAGTATTTATGGTTCAGTGAATTGCTCTGTTGTTAGTTGCCATGGTAGCTGACAACCTATGCAATAGAAGAACTCTGAAAACCCTTCAGACAAAGGCGTATCTCTTTCTGGATACTGACTGCTCTCACCTCCCAGCGATAATGGTGGTATCAAAAAAGAGATACTGGCAATAACCTTCTCTGAGAGCCACAAAGTAGTGCTTATGGTTAAATACATCACCCTGTTGGTGATTATAGCTTGATCTCTGTGTTGTTGTACAACTTGCATTTGTGAAAGTAACAGAACATCGTGTGCAATTACAGTGCACACCCTAAACAAAAACCTGGAACAGCAAAGCTTCTCAGCAGGGACTTTGATACACGCTCTCTGTTCCTTGCTTTTATAACATGTCTTTATCAGAGTAAATGTGCAGAAATACCTGATGTTTTAGGGTTGGTTGTTTCAGCCAGTTACAGAATGTGAGGCAGAAATGTATTCAGCTATCTTCTTGAAGAGCCTTATTTCTTCTCTGTTGTCCCCTGATGCTTGCACATTTGGAGGTTGTTTGTGTTCTTTTTAAGGCACGAGTGGTGCACTTTGTTACATTTGGGGAGGGCGTCTGTCTTCCTCAAGTTAAGAGCCCTTTTTTGCAGTATGTGGACTAAAAGGTCTGTGCCAGCCTGCAGCTCTTTACTGCACTTCTCAATAGTGTATTCTCCTCATTCTGGCCAGAAGAAATCTGGACAGGTTTCTTTGTGTTTCTTTCCTCCTCAGTGCTTGTTAATTGGTAACTGAATGAAACGTGTGATGAGCGTGAACCGAGCAGTTCTGCTGTCTGTGGTACAGGTGGATGAGAAGCATTTTTGTTCTTTGTGCTATGCTTTTTTTTTTTTTTAATAGCTTTTTGTAAAATCAGAGGTTTAAAATTGAGCCTCTAACTTGGCTGTATTACTTTTTAGGCAGATCAATTCCAGGGTATGGTTCAGAGCACAGCCCCCAAACCAGCACAACTGTTGCACAGCTGGAGGTACAGTATTGAACTTGCAGCTCAAAACCTGCAGAATTTCTGGGGCCCTTCTGTAACTGAAGGGAGCTCAGTGTAGCACTGACCCATTTTTGGCATATTGAAATGATCTCATCTGTTCTAGTTTCTTCCTTAAAATGTCTTTCAAGCTTTGGTTGGTAGACTTTTCTGCATGTAGACCAGATGAATGAAATAACGTCTGTAAGTAGGTTCTTTGGGGGGGGGTTTGCTTAGTCAACATTTTTCTCAGATACTTCATGGAGCTGACACCTTGGAAGAGCAATATTCAATGCAGTATTTGACAAATAACTAAGTTATACAGGTAAGAATTAACCTAATATTCAATATGTAGGGCATCTATTTCTCTAACATCATGATCTGTTTTCCATGTTGCTTTGAGATCAGGAGGTATGTCCTGCACGTAATCCGAATGAGAGCTTTTAGAAAGCAGGAAATAGAAAAGCACAGTATCTTACTTAATCCTTTAGCATATCCTGAACTTGTATTCTGATTGAGCACAAAATCCCCTGTTTTGGTTGCTGTGGAGGCTGTGCAGCTTGATGCTGCACATGAATGTGATTCAGCCAAATGTGACCCTAGCATGGGCAGTCACTCAGTGTGCACTGGGGTGTGTAACTTTCACTCAGAAAGACTCTTCCAGACATGCAGCTGTGAGTGTCTCTGCACGTGGAGGTGCTGGAGGCTTTTGTACGGGTGGTGGGATTGCAGGATGAAATTAAGCCTGTGAGCTGTGTTGTTAATGCTTTGGCACTAGAGCTGCACTGGGGGAGGCTGAGAGAGTTGCAGGAATGAGCCTTTAATAGAGGCAGACCTATCAAACTGTTCTTCGTGTGTGGAAGGCAACTGGCATGCCTTAGGGGAGAGCAAAATGAGTGAAAGGTGTGACTGAGGCAGTGGAGCACTGGCCCAGGGCCCAGGTTTGTTGCAGGCTACGTAGCAACATCTGTAACCATCCCTTTAGTTGCTGCTTCTGTATTGTGTATTTTGTGTGAAGGGTGCTAGGCGACCGGGGACAGCCACTTAAATATGGGGTGGTCATCTTGTGTCTCTAACTGGGTGCAGACTGCAAGCAGTCAGATGGATTCCCCACGTAAGGAGCGTGTTGGGTGATCTGCAGTGGGGTTTTGCTGGTCTAGTTCAGCACTCTGAAGCCCTGTTAGTGGGAGGAAGTTGGTCGGGTGGGATTTCTGGGTGTTAGATGTGTGTCACACACCCACTGCTCCTTCATCCTTCAGCAGCAAAGGAGGGGTGGTGGTTGGTGCCACTTCCCTCCTGTGAGTTATCTCTGGGGTTTCCCATTGCGGATCTCAGCCTATAAAGTATAGCTGCAAAGCTGGCCACCCGTGTGCTGATGGCTCCTAAAGCACTCATGTTTGGATGTGTGAATAAAAGGGGCTATTTATGTCTACTCCACCACAGGGTGGTTATTGCAGTTGCGTGTAGCACACAGTAGCCTTGTGCATCTCACACTCATCGCAGTAATCCCTGCTGCACTGCAGTGGTCCGTGCAAAGTGAAGCGCTGTCTGGTTTTGCCAGATGTGAGGTGATGTTTGTGTTGCTGCTTTCCAGGTGTGCCTTTAAGGTTTGCTGAACTTTTGGTTGAAGAATGGCTACTATAAGCTGCCTACATATTTCTGGTGGAAGTAGCTTTAATTTTGGAAGTGTTGAAATGTTGATTGGCCAACAACATAAAGGAGCGTTTCGATTCTCCTCAGTTTGAATTGGAATCAGCCTAGGGAAGAAACAAAGCCCTGCCACCCACTTTTTAATGTGGGATGGTTGTACTGATCCAGGAGACTTCCACAAGAGGGTGCACCAATTCAACCATGAATGGAGACCCAATGAGAGGGTCCCCATTGCATTTCCTGTCATTTTCTGTATTAATTCATGTATCTGAATCAGCTTCAAAATTGAATGAATGCTTTCTCCAGTTGAATGTCCCAGTTTGTCTCCCCAGCCTGTAACATGAATGGATACCTTTTTCTTTGTGGGTAAGCGAGTCAGGAAGTTTAACTAGGCACTAAGGGCACGTTTCCAAGGAGTGCTGTTTATGCTCATGAAAAGCTGTCTTTAGGTTCCAGTCACCAAATGCTATTTATATCCTTGTTTTCTTTTCAGCATACTCAAAAGTCTTGTGTGTTATTAATTCAGGGACAATTTCCTACAAATGTTCACTACGTGCCATTCAAGAATGAGGGCTGTTGTCTAAGTTTTGAAGCATCATTAATTTGCTTTTTCAAACTGGCACAGCTTCAGGTAATAGAGCTGCAGAAAAAAGCCTCCATCAAGAAGGACAGCTTCATGGCAGACTCTTGACTTGAGTGCAGCTGATACCTGTTCCTATTTTGTGCTAAAATTATTTGTTGTTTTGTGATATAGACGGGAACTCTTAACAAAACTTATTTTTAGTACATCTTAAGCATACTAAAATGTTTTGCTGGATGTGTAGGCCAAAGTGCTGTGTCCCTTCCTTTGAGGCTGCAGTGCTGAGATAAGATATCTCTTCAGAAATGATTAACTGTGAGACACTTACCAGGAAAATGACCCTTTTTTTTTTTTTTAATTGCACAGTCTAAGTGTATGAATCATCCCTTCTTGAGGTGATTTTCTCTGATGGTCAGCAGAACAACTGAAAGTATGGTGATGTTCATATGCGCTGTACAGGATTCTTTTCCCCTGTGCAAAGCTGGTTTTACCAAACTTGCAGCCTCTATTAAGTAAGAGTCAAATATGTATGTATATATTTATTGTTGCTACCTGCAAATAAGAAAGTTGGGCCTAGATGCAAAATATGTTACTTACAGTAATGAATGTGAACCACTGTGGTGAGTGCACAGCCCTGGCAGCTCTGAGCAAAGTTGGGTCCCAGCTGCTGCTCTGGGCTGCGGGGCGAAGCATTTGCTGCTCCCGGAAGGTTCTCCATCTGATGTAGAGCAATGCACGCATCGACCCGGCCAACCTTTGGTCGTTGCTGAGCAGAGAAAGGCTTTAATTAATAGGGCGTTTCATCTCAACGTGTTCGGACTTTGCGATCTACTTCTCTCCGTTTCGGTGAGCTGCAGCCACTAGGTGTCACTCCAACAAAGGCTACTGGGTTACAGGTGCTGAACCTTCGCCGCCCTCTTTTTTGTTCTTTTTCAGTGAGAGCTGGCTTGCATTATTTCACCTTCGTATAAACACAC